TCCAACTCTTCCCAAGTTGACTTTGTCACAGAAATATCATTGTATTTCATCCATCTGTTCTGGTGGTGGTCATAAATATATGCCCAGTAGTGTCCTGCATTAGCTTGACCTTCATGAACTAGCACAGCATGCAACCTATAAGGAACCTTAAAAAAACCAAAACAAACAGAACAAAAAACCCAAAATGTCAAACTCTCCTTGCCAGCATTTAGTTCCTAATACCTTCCAGCAATAATAACTACATTAAATAAAAGTAACAAAAAAAAAAAAAGTTACACAGGATCAAAACATGACACAGAGGAAAAACAAAAAGGTAAAACTAGCAACCCACTAAGCAAAAGGACTTTGAACTATTTTACTTACCACTACTAGTTACAAGAGATGTTAAAAACATTACTGAGTCTATACCATAAATGTCTACTCTGCTGTCTTTACTGCCAGGCATCCTCTTTTCTTAATTCCTTAATATGCCTACTTCCCTTGTATCTACAAAAAAAACCCTCAAATATGTCAGCCTTCAGTGTCCATGATTTGCTCCAGTTCTGACCTGCTAAACTTGTTCTTAAGTCTGGAAAGGCATATGCAAATTCAAAGTAATAAGCTCTGTGCTTTCTATGTGCCAAGTAAGAGAGTTTGTTTAAAGGATCATCTGGGAGTTGAATACTTCCATTATCCAAAGGTAAAATTCTTACAGTAGAATAGGAATACAACTGTTTTCCAGTATTTTAAAGGTATCAGTAAAAGCATTGCCAAGAGAAGGATGGAACACATGAAGAGGTCCTCTCCCCCTTCTCCTGAGGCAAGGAAAGAAGATACCAGTTTCTAAGATGAATGTAAAATGTATCCCAGGTTACACATGTTCACCGACAAGTAGGAAGAATAGGAAACTTCATTTCTGTGCAAGTAGTTGGAAATCTGAAGAAGCAGCAGAATGAATGAATGCTTCCTTACTTACACGTCTTTTAAAATCATCTTGGTGATCAGCTCATTTTAACCTGCTCAAACAGCACATGCAACATAAAAGGGAAAACTGATCTTCCCTGCTATGCACAGTATGCCTGAATGACAGCAGCTTAGCCAGGATGAAAAAACTGAAACCATCTTCTACTGGTGTCACAGTCTGGACTGTAGATAAATGGTCTATTTAACGTAAGGTGTACTAAATATTTGTTGCAAATATCATTTGAGCACCACAATAGTTAGTAACCATAAATACATACAAAACTATGACTTGAGAAACTCCTTGAAGTTATTTTTAACCTGATCATTCTCTTCCAGGCTATATGCAAGTGCTGGAGATTTTGCAATTCCCCTTGAACTGTAAAGCTGGCTGACTGCACAGCAGCTGGAATCAAACAGACTGTCATCCCAGAGACCAAACTGCACTGTAAATCTCCCTAGCACAAGAAGTATATGGAGAAGAAATCCTAGCAAGTCCTTAAATCTGAATGCTCTGGGGTTTTTAACATCTGCTATCAAACCAGTGTGAAACCCATCTTAAAATGACTGCAAGCCCAAGCGTATGCACATAAACATATGCAAATCCTGATTTAAAAAAAAAAAAAAAAAAAAAAAAAAAGCTAAGTGAAGTCTCTTCAGACTTTGACAATAAAATCGCTTATCTTAAAATAGAGCGTGAAAATTCCAGGTGAATTTAAATCATTTTACTTAAAATCATGCTAACTGGGCCAGCTTGAGTGCCCCTACCCTTTGCTGTCAGTCGTCCACACTGAGCTTCCAGGAAGGTTCCTCACAGAGGTCTGTGGCTGGGGGACAGGCAAGTTAAGTGCCAACAGGCATCTCTTGCGATAAGCCATTATATCAACAGCAATTAACGGCACAGGGCAACACAACAAGTAAATAGTTGGGATTAAGTTTCTTAGCTTACACTTACTACTCATGAAACAGAAATGGAGCTTCACCACCCTCGTCACATGTAGCTACAGAACAGATTTATCAAAGCTGATATATCAAAGAATTCCCACAGGAAAAACAGATGTGTCTCATTTCTTCACAGCACGTTCAGGAGGAGGGAAATACCCAAATAAGCAGCTGATGAAATCTATTCATTCAGGAGGACAAGACAAAATAAGAATTTCGGGAATATATTTCGTATGACAACTTGACAAGGGTTTTTATGGACAACTGGAGTTTCCTTAGAATCAAAGGGTACACAAGGAGAAAATTAAGAGCTTCTTAAACAGTTCATACAAACGCTAGGAAGTATCTTGCAAATATAGTTAAGTTTTCCTTAAAAAGTCTAGTTTTATGTGCCCAGACTTTATTGACTCATAAAATAAAAGCTTTCAGTCCTACAATTGTATCGTTCAGAGGAAAAGATCGATACTGTAAAACTGCTCCCAGAGAATGGGGTGATGCTAAACTATCCAATTGCCCAGATGCAGAGGCAGGCAGGGGGAAAGTAGACAGCTATATGCATCTGCCTCCTTCCTACTGTGCCAAAACACCCACAGGGACAAAACCAGCTGAGCTGCAGTAGGGCAGCCCTCGCTTCCAGCCTTTGATTTTAGGTGGGTTCAGTACCTGCCTGTTCCCTAACAATCACTTAGACATTGCTACTTTCAGGCATAGCACAGGAAACCCCTCCCCCCCCCAAATCTATATACCATCTTCACCCTCCTCTGTTTCTGGAATTCTGTTTCGAAACAAACAAGAAGATCTAGTCTACATTATACAAATCCACACTAGGACAAAGCGTTTTACTAAGTAATCTCCCTTGGCCATTGTAATGATTGCTGACTAATATATTCACCATCCAGGGGCATTTCCTCCTATAACACCTGAGCCAACACAGGCAAGCTATTCAGATGTGAGATCACCGAATTACTTCATTTTACTGTTAGATGACACGTAGCCTCTAGCCTTCCTGTTAAAACACAAGTATTAAGGAAAAGAAATGCCTGCCAGTAGCAAGCTTAAAGAAAGCCATCTAGGCAAGTCTGCCTGAAATCCTTAACATCCGAGTTCAGCTGGCAAGAACTCTTACAAGCCACGTACAAAATGAAAACGTACCTTAAGGGAAAGTGTAAACTGAACAGATCTTATTTGGAAGGAAAATAGTTCTTTTTACTAACAAGAAGTAACAGAGGAAGTAATCCTTAACCTTAAAACCTCTCAAAGTGAGTGAACATGAGTATGTGAACATAAGAAATACCAGAGGAGCCACGACTCTGTGGTAAAGCATTCTAAAAATGCTCTTCAGACTACACAGCATGAAAATCTCCCTAAAAGGCAGCTTAGGCTCATAGTCAAGGTTGTGACTGATACTAAATCTAGACAGTTTTAAAAAACCCCACAAAAACCCAAACTAACAATGACAACAAAACCCACTGGCATTATTAACTGCAAATTAAAATTAGGAGCCTTGAATTCCCCAGTATTAGTATGGAAGTCGCAATACACAATGGCAATAAGCATGAAGTATAAAAATAACAGGGTTTTGTGTCTCATGCTTTGCCACCTTAAAGTCGTAAGATTACCTAGCAATACGGTCAAACTGGTGTGAGAAAATTTTATTGGAGTTATACAAAAACTGAAGCTCTGCATTCAAGTCAAAAAAGTAGATCAGAGATAGAACGTATTTGGGCTTTTCACCACAAAGTTGCTTAAACTTAAGTATGTCACCTGTAAAATACTGTGACGCTGTCTTTCATCTGATGGTGCACAATTAAAAAGGTTTGCAAAACCCATTATGACTCTCCAATGAAATTTCTCAAACCACTATATGTAATTGTTGTATACTTGCCCTATTTTCAAGCATTTAAGAACTTTAATAGAAGTGACAAAAAGGATCTATTCTGAATTATCTCATGCAGAAGTTGTACTTACTTGGACCATTGTTTTGTCAGAGTACATCAATTCAATTGTCCGATGTATTCTAGATATACTTTCTTGTAAATCTAAAAGATAAATAAAAAAAGAAGCTCTCTTCCATGAGGCTGCATAATTGCACATAGCTACATCTTTCTTTTCTCTCATTAAAAGCCAAACAAGGGTACATTTCACATTTGTCATGTTATCTACCTACATGCCAAACACCAAACCTTCTCGGATGATAAAGCAGAGAGTGATTCGTTATATGCTGCTGCTTGTTTCTTAGAGCTCAACCAAACCCAACCCTGCTGGAACAACTACTTCCCTTGTTTTCCTCTGGGCAGCAGAACAGACTGTAAGCTCTACCCACTCCAAAAAGCCTTTGCTCAGAAATTTGCTGAATTTTCCCTTATAGAAGGGGTCACTCTACCCTAAACTCCCCCGCAGAGCACCAAGTCATGGCATGGGCCCAGCCACTATCACACTGACAGCCCAAACACATCTGCAGGGACGTTCCTCGGCGTGGATCCCACCTCTGTTTCGCTCTACTCCCCTCAACACCACGCACACAGAACCCTGCATTGAAACACCCATGTACACTTCACTCAATGCCCAGTTTGCATCTTCAGTTTATATACCTCCAGTCTACTACAGTCTCTGACTTTCCTTCCTGTGTGCCAGAGGGAAGTTTGGAAGTATGAAACAAGCAATTCGGCAGACACATGGACATTAGGGCGACCGCCCCCGCTTCCACAAATACTTTCCAACAGCAAATGCATTCTCCAGGTTGTGGCATTACCTCTAGTGTCATTCTCTACTTCAGTCCTCCAGCGATGTAAACAGCCTTCTAGGACAGAGAGCTCTTCCTCAGTGATATGCCTGGGTGCCGGATGCATTGGCAGATCAGGAGGAATTCGTGATTGCGTGAATGGTTTATGTATTACTGATCTTTGTACGGGAGATGTGCTTGGAACATCTGAAGATGAAGGCCCCTGTTGCTCTACTGTGCTGCATTCATTCAAAACACGAAATACAAAAATTGAATCATCATGTATACAAGCTAAAAGCTACACCATAAAAATAAGCTTTTCATCTGAAAAAAAGAATTTTTAAAGGTAATAATTTCCTACAGTGTAATCCAGGAAAGGTACCTACAACATCAATACAGAATTACTGTATAACTTTTGAAAACTTTGTGGTGAATTACATGTTAGCACAATAACAATTCTGGTTGCCTTTAACAACGATAAAGGAATTGGATGGGTCAAGCCACAGTTTGCTTTACTTGAAATGCTATTCAACACATTCAAATAACGTCATACAAGTAATCACTGTGGTTTGAAATGTTTATGGCCAAGCTGCAGAGAGAAAAATTGCTGCAGCTTGTCTTATGGCCCATTGACCATGAAATCCAATAAATACAAGTTCTGTGTTTAAGACATGAAGAAGTTATTCTGTCTAGCAGACTTGCCTACCTACAACTTAACAGCAACACTGAAAAGACCTCTGATATTTATGGCACACTGGAAATTTAGCACCAAGCCATCTAAACTTGTTCCAAATAAGTCTTGTAACTCAAAACAGAAAAACAGCCAACTTAGGAGAATTCTACAGGAGCAGCAGAACATTAAAAATTAAAATGTTACAGATTTTTCACCTCCTATCAAGACCACCTATACATAATCATACACATAAAGGAATCTGAAGTTCTAGCAAGCCACTGTTTTTTACTTTGTGCAGCATCATGATACAACCTGAGGAACCTGGATTCTTCAGTAGTTTAGAAAGTTCTAACATTAAGAGCTGACAATATCACTCTGCATAACATGCAGTTGTGTTTTTACAGATTGACAAAAAAGTCATAATACCTATATTTTTATAGAACAAAATTGCTATATAGGACTTTGTTCAAAGTATGCTATTTCTGATACTGCATTTCATGCAAACAATGGTATCTTAAAAGTTTGTCTTCCTATCAGTCATCATTATTTCTACTGGCATTATATCAGCAAGATGTTTGAAATATTTTGAAGGACTTTTAGACTCATTTATGTAACTTCTCTGAAGTAGTAAGTTGACCACCTTGACTGGACCAGAACCTAGAACCCTACTTTCCAATTCCAATTGCAATATAAAAAGCTCTGTTATAAACTGTTAGCACCCACCTAGCCAAACCCTATCCTAAGTCATACTCTACTTTATTAACTGTTACTAGTAGTTACTATTAGCTTCAATCATGAGAACATCGGGGGATAAAGGTTCAATAAAGCTGTTACTTTGGCTAGTCTGCATTTAAAAGGTCTGTTAGGTTCCTGACAATCTCAGTCAGAAATGTAAGCAGCAAAGCAGAAAAGGGGCTTAACTCCCAGGCAAAAATTAACACAAAAATTGTGCACCAGAAACCTTGAAGCTCCACAGAACACACGTGCTGCCCAAATTAAGATTCTTAAACAACACACTCGAGAAGCAATGACATTACCAGATATTGTGTCTATTTGGAATTGTAGGTGGAATTGTGCTTTGTTTGAAAATAGTAATTCTCCATCCAAAGACATTTTTAGAAGCGCATCAGACAAATCCAGACTATTAACATTTTGGTTTATTTACTTAAGTCTGTTGTGCTGAAAAATGCTGCTAGGAAGAGAGAAGAAACTTTACACTATACCCCCTTACGAGATGCCTCGTTGAATTAATCCGGTGAACGAAACAGTTAAACTTCCTCCCCTCTCTCTGAGAGGCCAGGCTGGCACTGAGGGGATGACTGGCCTCTCACCCTGGGAGAGCAGGAGGCAGCCCTTACCTGGGCAATGTCTGGGCCGGCAGCGTGCCACTGGCAGGGGCACTAGCACCCAGGTCATCGACAGGAGACGTGCACACCGGCTTGCTGGAGGCAAACTCCAAGGCATACTGCAGGACATCTACCAAGGGGAATCGTTTAGGACCAGAACCATAGCTTAAATATCTGTTAACCATAAAACGTATTAATGCCATGACTCACATATACAACAACAACAAAAAAAAAAACCAAAAAAAAAAGAAGAGGATTTTCTTTCTTGTTGACTGCAATTAAATAAAGCAAGCCTTTCCTAGCATGTTTCATGCACCAGAACTACTGCGCTTATACACAGTTTCCAAGGAAAACGGTAAAAGAAAAGAGATACAGCAGGGAAATTTAGAGCAAATAACTACACACAAAGTGCATAGCTGGAAGGAGTTATTCTATGTAGCCCATAATATTACTTGCATTTACACTGGGAACAGTTATCTATAGTACCGTTCTAATCTCTGCTGTAAAACCGTGAGGTACTCTTTGAGTCTCTTGATTTCATCCCGTTTAATTCGTGTTATTTCTCTGTTTTTGTGCATATACCTGTAAAACATGAAAGTTGGAAAGAAATGTCAGCCCATAGTATTCCAACACTGAAACTGAGGCCTGTACCCGTCAGCCATGCTGCTAAGTGCTAAGAAGAACCAACCCTCCCTAGAGCCTTGTTTTACCTACAACACGTTAAGCAGAAAAACAGAACTCAAAAAAAATGGTAACCCCAGTAAGCCTCCCCTTCCACAATTTTCAGAAGATGCTTTATCCCCAGTGTCAAAAGCTCTGTTCATACCATGGATGTGTCTTAAAAATTCATACAAACACATACTAGAAAGCTTCTAAATTACGTGGTTTAAGTAGCAACCATGTAGCAATACTCCTGTTTCATTGTTTAGGCTCACAAATAACATTCAGCATCAACTGAAAACCAAGTATTTCACCTCGACATATACACAGCATGCAGTGATGTTCAGAATCCTCTTCAACACATACAGTCTATCTAGAATGCCATGAAATACCTGACTACTCACCCTCTTTCCCAAATGGACTCATAAACAGTGTGATTTTTCAGAGTATTTTGCCTGTGTACACAATTACCTAGCAATAAATTAAAGACTGAAGTGTAAGCAGGTTTTTGCACAAAGTAGCAGTAGGTCTTAAATTGTTATCTATGTATTTTCTGAAATAGATTAAACCCATGAAAATTGTAACTTGTCCAGCTAGAAAAGAAATTTACTGTAAGCAAGTATAAGATGCACCAGTAACCTTACCAAACTCATGAGTTTTAATTCATATTCATACTAGGACTTTGTTGATAATATTATACAGTACCTGTCCAGATATAAAATTGGAGGGAATTCTAATTTGTTGTGTATCTTCTCTGGTCTCCCCAAAGCCTGATTAAACTCAAATCTTGATAGCTCAAAAGTTAAGACAGGAGGAAGCTCAGTGAACCAGTGCTGAACAAAAGAAAAACAGAAAACCCCACAATGAATGCCTTCCAATAGCAGAACTTTGGTAATAATGTCACAATACCTGCAGACTGACATAGCTATGGGAGAAACTGGTTTTAGAGGGTGGATCGGTGTAAGCTTTCCAAAATTCCCATCTTTCACCTTCACTGTAAACACAGACCATTTATCACCCATGCTGCATCAGAGCTTCGCAACTCATCTATCGCTATCCACTTTAAAGCAGAGTAGGCAGGGAGGCTTCTTCCTTTCACACTTGTCTCGCTCGTTCTAAAAACAGCCTACGCTTGAACCTACCTGCCTTGCCAAATGCCCAGTTCTTTAACTCCGGAAGGCCACTGCAAGAGTTGTTTATACTCTATCAAGTGGTCTATCCTGCTAGATGCCTCAGACTCAAGTTTCTGACCCTTTCATTCACCTGATATCACTCAAAGTTTCTAATGACCTCCTCTGAAGCAGGATCAGTGAGTACTTTCGGCTGGGTCATACAAGCGCTCTCAGCACTGAAAAACTGATACTTTTTCTTGAGATCTCCTCCATACTAACATCCTCTCCTGAAGTTTCTACTCATGCCTCTAATCACTGCTAGTCCATCCATGGACCAACCCGTGTTATCATCACCTTATCCCAGCTTTCTCTGAGTATTCAGTCTACCCTTCGTCTTCATTTCTTTCCTTACATACCCCACTTCTCAACTACAAAACAAATTCAGCTCCAGTTCCAGCATTAGAATCCTTTTTTCTCTCCACTCTGCAACATAAAACCCACAGTCTATCCATTTAATATATTATGGATGTCTAACCATCAACTCAAGCTTCCCCAATTCTTGTGGACACCATTGCCACACATTTCTGACTTCAATGCCCACAGCCTGTACGTGGCATTTGACTTAGGGCTCGCTTCAAGCTCTCCTATTCAACCAAGTGTCTTGAATCACCTTGTCATACAATACCTCCAAGACAGCCTGTTCTTCCTGTGCACATGGCTAAAATACGGGTCTAGGTTCTCATCACTCAATCTCTCACTGCAGTGTTTCCTCTCTTCTCCCCTTGCTCGGGCTCAGCGCCCATAGCTTTGTCACGCTAACAGATTTCCAGGATGTTGCTGAATTTTCCAAGTTCATTGCCTTCAGCATCACTCCTCACATCTGTTTACAGGCAAAATGAGCTGCCTTCCCTTTTCCTGCCTATGTCAGCCTCCACTAACCACCTTTTCAGTTTTAAAGGAGACAATCATGACTTCTCTCTTGCAGCAACTTCACAGAGCAGTAAGTTTCAATGCTAAAGTCAGCAAAGCCACACCACAGCCCTTCCCCCTAAAAACCTTTTATTGTAAGGCCTCCAAACCACTTAACGATGACTAAGCTGCTGATGTGCTTAAGTTCATCAACCATGATGCTGACAAACGTTAACTTATTTTCCCCACACTTTAACTGCAAGTATGTGCGTTTGGATTTAAGTTCCTTGGGACAGCGAATGTCTTTTTCTGTTTGTACATTAGCTTGCTTGCTGACACCCTACACCATGGCTGAGGCTTTTAGGCATTGCAATTAATAGCAATAATAATAAAACAAGTTAAATACCCTTTTAGAGGCAATGGTGGGAACAAGGAAAAAAAAATTGAATGTGTATTTCAGGATAAAATGGATCTTTCAACACATGCGATTACCACATTAACATTCTTCTCTTTAAGCTTTGATATCTACCAGCTCAGACAAATGCCACTTGAAGCCTTTGTTCAGCAGAGACAGACTTTGTTAAAACTACAAGAAATTCAGCTTACTTCAGTACTTCCAAACCTTCCAGTGCACCGTAACATGTTTGAGACATCATGTTTAAGAATAACTACTAACAGCAGCAACCACTAGAAATGAATTACTTCAGGGCAATATAAGCAATGTTCTTCGCCATGGTAATAACGCAATAATGTTTCTCTACATTAAGACTTAAGACATTACCTTTCTTGTTTTGCCACTGTTGTCAATCTGTTATATGACTATTTCACTTCCATTTCAACATGCTAAGCCAAGCTGATTAAAACCCTGACAGTTCACAGAAATCAAAGCTTAACACTCTAGATCTAGATTTTTTTTTCTTCCAGGTATATTTCAGGAAACATGCTCATTGTAAGAAGTGCTGGAATAAAAAAAAAAATTGAAACATCCTGTGAAAAAAGAACACATCCAGTAAGATGTGCAAATACATTTGAAAATGCTTGTTAACATCCAATTTGGTTGATCAGTATTTGGTCAGCAACAGCTGACCAAAAAAAGGGACTGCAAATGGGATGCTATAGAACTTTTGTTGATAACACAAAATTGGAAATACAACTTCAGACTGGAGGATGATTTCAGTGTGTATCACTAGGCTTACTAATCAAACCCTGTGTGTATGTTGATAGGATTAAAGGAAGCAAAATTTCATTACTGCAAAAGATTGATATCAAGGAAGAAAATATACCTGCACATTTTACTTAAGTAGAACCCTCCTAAGACTTCATGTTTGAAATAACTGTGATGAAACATGAACAACTGTGTAAAGAGAAAGTAGCTCAGCCTTCACGAGCAATGGGGATTCCCATATTTCCACATCAGTAACCCACAGGTTATTAGCTCTGCCAGAGAGAAATGCTGGGCATATACATGCATGCCAACAGTAAAAGGGGACATTTCAGAGTACACCCTCTTGGTTCTACAACCACCATCGGTCCAACCACCTCTTTTCCCCCTAACCTGTGACATCTGCACAAGAAATCTCATTCATCACCTCATCCCAACACCATACACTGCATACCTCACTTCTTAGTGATGCTCCACCTGAATCCCTCCACCCATGCCTCCAGCATCATCTGATATTTGGCAGCCTCCCGCTCTAGCAAGAGCTCTCCTGCGAGGAACAGCAGCCCATAGAACAAGTATTGTCTGCCCAGCACCGTGAGCAAAGAGAAGAGTCGCCCACTGTAGGGGGCAAAGAGGAGGATGCTGGCAAACATCAGTAAAAAGGGGAGAGGGGAAGATAGCTAGGGTGCTGAGGGATTCTTGCTGTTTGCAAGTCAGTCAGAGGAGTAGTCAGCTACCACAGGACATTATACCCATGACCTCCTTGGAGATCAAATATCAGCAACAGGTGGGAACCAGCCTGTGCCAAATCACTGTAAGCACTTAACTGTGCCAGCTTTTAATAAGCATGAACTTCGTATCTTATGAAAAATACAAAAAGAAGATACTTTGGATACTCCAAAAGATATACAAACCCCAAATTAACAATCAAATTACACCACACATCAGAACCTGCACAGCAGCAGGTCACAAAAAAACCCCATCCGTGAACCCCAATGAAAAATAAAGAGCACTACAACACCCTGAGAGAAGCCCACAGGAGCACTTAACTCACCTCCTGACCAGACTTTGCGGAGTTTTCTGAATGAAGAGATTCAATTTCCCCTTCAATCATTGCAGCTTCTAGGCACTCATGCAGATCTTTAAAGCCATTAACCTGGAGTGGATACTGGCCAAACATTTCTGTGTTTTCAAATTTTTTACCTTCACATAAGAAATTAAACAGTTAAGGTTTTAGGAACAAACATTTACCTTTAAAAGCCCCTAATAATCCTAGGTCACCTAACCTAGTCTACTGAACAATACCGACATTTTCTTATTGAACTATTCAATATGTATGAAAACAAGTTACTCAAAGTCACTGGAATGTAGTATTGAAAATTACTTTCCTCTTCAGCCTGTTTTTTGTACTGTTTTTCCAACTATTGGTAATAAGCAAAACTCCAAATGGCTTGGCACCACAGATGTATGGGAAGTCTTACACATATAAATCAAAGTCCTCCTCCTGCAAATAGCAGCTCAGTAATACAACCCTACATTGTATCAGCAAAGTCGATGGAATTGCTGGTATGAATCGACCCTTTGTATAAGTACATTTTGCAAAAATAAACCACAAAAGAGAACATTCATGATTTCTGTCCTGAAAAAAAGATCATAATTTGCTAACAGTGTATAAAGATGTAAGCTCAAACATGAGGACAAATATGGGTGACAAAGTGGTTTCAATTTATTTCATCCTAAAGTCAGTAACAAGTCTTATATCTGCCACTTTCTTTTCATTGGTTTGGTTTTTACATCTCCTCAGTTAAGAAGAGAACATGGTGAGTGAAAGTACGCAAATGGAAAAGAGCAAGAATGCTAGCTAGTAGCAAGGAATCTGCAGAATGGTTTTGAAATCTGACAACAAATCATTAGATATGCTGTTCCAGGACGAGAAACAACCCGGCAGCCACTTTATGAAGATTATAGCTGCTTCATACAGATGCTTCAAATGCATCTCAGGAGTCGTTCTCTCTCGGTATGGGGGATAGAATCACCAACATTAAAAACATTTTCACAACTGCTGGTCTCCTGGAAATAGAGTATGCCGAAGTTGTGCAGATCTACTAACTTTATGCAGATAAGATAAAGGGAAGCTTGCTGTACAGTCTCTTCTTCCTCAGTACTCTCTCTGACACTGCCCTTGAGCAGGTTTCCAGTGACTTGATTTCAACAAATCGTACTTTTAAGAGGGTGAGTTATCCATACCAGAAATTGTGCAGAAGAAAATGCAATAATTGAAATTTCAAACTGCATTAAATGAAGCAGAGAGAGTGCAAGAGACTAGCTCAACGAAATACAGTAATTTGCCTTCTGTATACCATTCGTAAGTGGCAAAAGAAGTGCCCTGATAATAATTTCCTGCAAGCATTTTTGCTCAGCATGTCACCCTAACTTCTACTGCACTTTAAGTACATATGCTCAGCTCCTGAAAGTTATCAGAACAGTCTTTCTGGACCACTGCAGCTCACTTTTACCTTCAGACTCATATTCTCAGGAAAAATCTTTTGTCACAGACCGAATGCATATTCTCCAGGTGTACTTGTGCAGAAGTAGCTAAAATGCTACAACTGCATCATTTACCTGTGTACTTAGACAAGCACTGAACAGACACAAGCATAGAAGTCCAAGTAAATTCAGATGCATACCTTCAAGTACACCTACTGCTAGAAATCGTCCATAAAATAACTCCACCATTGGGTTCTTTGGTTTCTCTCCATCCCTGAAAACAGAAAGTGTGTTAGTGCAAAAAATCAAACACAAAGCTACGAACTTTTATAAAACTGAGTAGAATATTCTGAATTCATTATGGAAATGCTGCCTATTTTACTCAGTTACTGTTCATTAAGTTTCGTACTTTCCTCTAATGACAATAACAATGATTCACATATTTGCAATGGTAAGTATATTCTGAAAATTAAGTTTTAGAAGTGCTTCATTCTAGGAAAATTTATGTAAATCACATTCTATTCTTGAGTGGTTAAATTGTACAAAACCCTTGTAAAAACCTATTTTCTGCAACACTCTAGAAACAATTATGTATTCAAAAGGCAGTTTACAGATGCTTACTTAAAGAAATGACGAGTATTACTTCTGAGAAGAGAAGTATACTGAACATTTTGATAAGAAAAAGCAAACCAAACAAGCAAAAATCCACTTCTCACTGTATGGCTGAAAACGATCCAACAGAGTTGGACAGAGAGCTAGAAAAAAAAAAAATCTTACCTCTCTTCTTCAGCTTTAATTTGGAAGGCATCTTCTAGCCAATCTAATAATTTGTGTGTAAATTCACTGACATCTTGCTGTTGAAAAATATAAAATGATGAGTGTATGTTCACATACATAACAGAATACAATGAGGTGTCACCTTAGAAGATCAGTATAGCAGTAACCCCCCCCGCAAGATCTTACAAAAAAAATAAAATAAAAAAAATATCACACTATGTTTAAGACTATGCCATGACTGGTTTTTTTATGGGTGGCTCTTAGAGCACACTAAGGCTCTGGTGTTCCTCAGCCATTACACTATCCTGTGATCCTTATTACTTGGGCTCAGCTTTCATACCATGTTAGTCCAAAGGCATCTTTTGAATTCCATTGTTCAAAATCTTTGGTATCTAACAAGTGGTGACTAATATTACTTTCATCGAGCACTAAATTCAGCATGCTGTTGTAATTAAACACCTTAGCTATATAACTTCATGTGGGAAAAATAAAGCACCTGAAGAAACAAAAATGTTTCTCAGAAAAGCAAAATATACCCACTATGATTTAGGCAAGTATCCTGAATATAAATATTAGGACCCTCCAAAACAATATCTACATACAGTATACTAGGACTGTAGCAGCCCTGGATGTACTGTTAGATCAGAAGAATAAAGCTCTTTCAAAACCCACAGATTTAGAAGCTAAACTAAACCCTAAAATCAAGAATGTGGAATTATTTGTTAGTTTCTAAAATAATAGGAAGAAAGTAATAGTCAAAATAATAGACAATAAAATAGTTGCACTGTCTGGAATTTTTTTATTTTTTATTAATAGAAGTTACTAGAGCTCATGTAGTATTAGACAAAAAGCTCAAAGACTGATAATTGGAAGGTTTTTTCCTGTGGACATTTTGAATTTTTGTTGTCCATTTTAAGTATTTCCTATTGCCAGATGACTGTATGAAAACACACATAAGCTTGAATAAAAGTACACAGAAATCACCTGCTTCTTGATGGGTCAACATATTTTCTCTTCGAACCAACTAGAAGTGCAAACAGGTACCTCAATTCACGCATGAAAGGTAGATTCCTATGTTCCTGTATTTGAAGAAGAATTAAAAATGTTTAACAAAGTGGTAACAAAAATCTACTTTACAGAAGTGTTACCCAATGAACTAACCGTATATCCAGCCAATCACCATAGTAATATATAAGCTTATTTATAGTACTACCAAGGCAGTGTTGCACGCTTTTTACTTGTCAGTTTTACAAAATAATATAGTTCTAGGGGAGGGGAAGTTACATTTCAGCAACTGAAAGCTCCCTGAAACGATGTGCCTGTTTGACTTGAAATGGGGCTGAATGGACAAGCAAAAAGCTCAGTTACATTTAAGACAGAACTGTTGTTCCTGAGACTTACAGAGCCTGAAGTAATGCACTGCAACGATACGCACCGATTTTACTGAAATTAGTATTCCTCTATATCTCTAACAGAATTTCTTGTGAGCCGACACACTGCCTAGTATCTTTTTAAGCTTATTTTTTACTGAAGACTAACTTTATAGGGTGTACACAAATCATATTATTTCTTTTGACAGAAGTAAGGGAAATAACCTGCTCTCCTTTCTACTTTCGGGGTTTTTTTGTTTTGGTTTGGTTTTGGTTTTTTTTTTTTTTTTTTTTAAGAATAGTGCATGGGGAATATCAAGTTCTTTTTCTGGTTTCTGGGAGAGAAGCAGAAGAAATACTTTCTGCCTGTATAATGAAAAACAAGTGAACTGAAACACAAATCCATCATACCAGAGATTAAACCACAGGTTACAAATGCTGTGGAGATGGGGTATCACTCATGCTCCTGAGTAGATAGTTGACAAATACTTGTGAAATTAAAACCCACATAATGCCCTGTCCTAAACTTGTGTTTAGAACAAAGTATCATCCAAAGGCAGCACAGATGTCAGATGCTGGTCTAACTGGAATTACCTGATGACAAACTATTTCACATGCTCATCAAACAGCAGACTTGTTTAGTCACTCCTATGTCAATCTAGTATGCTTAGAGCTTTTTGTACATAAAGTCTCTTTTATTTCAGCTTTAAAAACTGTGCGTAGTGAACTGGAATATGTTCTGCATAATACCTAAAAAATACTTCCAGTTAAATAAATTCCAAAGTTTTACTTGCTCTTCCAGTCTACCTTGCAAAACACCTGCCAAATATAAACAACGTTCACAGAAAAGACTGAAGACTTCGTCAAATGCCGCCCTAATTCAGCATTAAATCATCATAATTTAAGAATAAAATCAGTCTCCTATTTACATACTTAAAGCACAACAAAACAGGGAAACAAACTGTGAAAGTAATTTTTTGTCTTATTATTTTCATCAAGTTATCTATTAAAAACTAATACAATTTCAAATTTAGATACAGATATATTTTATCAAGATGCTTCAATACCAGTGATAATTCATATGCATAATACAGATGATTGATCACAGAATACTCTAGATCTCACCTTCCTTTTGTTAAATCTGAAGTACATAGGCATTGAATATTAATTATTGCATTACTTACCCAAATTTACACTACTAATTTGCCTGAGTTTTAAGCATACTTGTAGCTTCAGGCTGAACAACTGGCTACTGATGTCAGTAGGATTACTCAGAACAAATATGTCTCTAAAGCCTATAAAAGTTCTCTAAAACTAGAAAAATTCTATTTGTTTTTTGAGAAAGCTCCATTTAATGCATTAGGATGATCCTTGACCAGATTATGTGGGCATTACCATAAAAACCAGTGATTCTGACTAAACAAAGCCCAAAATCTTCAAAAGGACATAAGCCAGTCCCCAGGACAAAGTATGCAGTTCCACAAAGGACTTGTATATTAAAACAAAAGAACTAATAAAGTAATCACAGCACATGGCTGTAAATTTTAAAGCATATTATAGGTGCAACAACGCGCAAAAAAAAAGATTATAATCAATCTTAAAATAAAAACTGTACAGCAAGTTCATAATCTAAAACATTCTCTATTTTATCGCCTATCCTGCCTGCAAAAATAATTTCTTAATATGTTGATGTTGGAATAATGTATTATTAAGAAAAGCTTCTAAAGCAACCTACATGTTTAATACATAGCAAACATTCATTATTGCCAATCAGCAGGCCAGGACACTGGCATAACGATAATGTTGAAACAGGGGGAAGGATGTGCTAACCTGTAGCACAGTAACCCACTTCCTTGGATAACAAAACGTTTCCTGAAGATACCATTGAGGCCAAATGTGTAGCTGGCCTCATTGCGCACAGCAAAAAATATCTGTTCATATGACAGCAAGAGGTAAGAGAACTGGCAGAGCAAAGAGGCTGCAGTAACTACAGAGCACCGTATTTGTTCTACCAAAGGAAGCTGAGGAACACACCAAGGAAGAAAAATTAATTTCAAAATTAAAAAGAACAAAAACAGATTGGAGATTTTAAGTGGATGCCCAAGTTTACAATCCAGAAAAACAAAGTCCAATTAGCTGAGGCAAACAGGATAGGGTTGTTGTTTGGTTTGGATTTTTTTTAAAGTCAAAATTTATACCAATGACTTCTGTGTTAAAAATTTTACATGCCAAATTATTAATAGCATTTGGATTCAATATATTGATAGGAAAGGAAAAAAACACCCCACCATGCAAGATTCCCTGAAGTACAACCACATGCTTTAATTCTAAATCAAGAGATTGTCACGACCTTAGCATTAAACTCTACTTTCCACCAACTGGAAGAACAACAGGATGTAAACCAAAGTCTTGAAAATCTGGGAATATTAAAACTTGGTCTTTGTTTGCAAGGAAATGTGATCCTAGGGAATGTCAAGTCACATGGTACTTAATACTAGGTTAAAAATAAAAACCAAACCAAAACCAAGTCGAGATAGTTTTAAAACAAGTAAGGAGATGGAAGTAAATTACATGGCTTTTTTTTTTTTTTTTTCCTCGGCTGGTAGCTTATATTACAACTTTAAGCCAATTTGCCTCTACCTGCCTTCACCTTATAAAGAAATAAAAGCACCATATTTAGGGCATCCATGCTTATTTCTTCTACTTGTCTAAGTTACAACAAGTGAAGTGATCTCTTCTCCTAAATTCTCCCCACAGCATCTTTCAACACTAAGACAATCCTTTTTTAGCTGTAGACAAAACAGATGAGTACATTATTAATAATGTTAGTTCATTCTGGAATTTAGGTTAACAAAGGAGAGGCTACGAACTACTGCCATAGATTCTTACTAGCAGGCTTGCAGAAAGAGAGGTTTCTGCACAAATCCATATACTTGCCTGGTGTCACACCATTTCACACAGCCTTACTATTGTCTGTCATGGTCAGTATTTCTAAGAAATAGCATTTTGGAATTGCTAAAGGCATTCAGCTGCTAGTTTCAATGCTTGGGCAAGACGTTTTTCAAAGACAACAGCTTGTTTTTATCTATTTCATACCACCTCCTAGATGCCAACTGCTTTTTACACCCTGAAAAATGAAGGTAAAGGAGTACTGGAGGACATTACTAAAACAAATTATATGACGAATAAAGAAATACCAGGCAGAAAGTCAATCTAAAAATCAAAAAATGAGTATTTCTGTACAACTGTTTGGTAAAGCATGACTTCATCCTGTCTTTCTTACTAAAATACACTGTCCTGTCACCCTCCTGTGACATGTTCCCAATACTACCCATACTGTACCTACACACCATCTCATGACCTAATGCAAACATTTAAAAAAAAAAAAAAAAAAAAGAAAAAAGAAAAAACGGTGACAAATTGCTCTTTGAACAAGGTGGGAGAGCAAGGGAGAAATTACACAGCTCTGACTGAACATGCAACTTCCCTTTTATGGTACGTACCTAGAGGCTTAGAAAATTGACACTATCTTCTCTAGGTCTGTTTTCTTTTGCTTTTTTAATTGCAGATCTTTCTTTCACTAGGGAACATTCCAGTCAAGCTTGAAGTGCCGAACAACTAAGAATAGACCAACACCACACTCTCTTTTTAAAATCCAGAAGAAAGGGGTAAAAGGCAATAGTCCAATTTCTGAATACAGAAAAATTCACTGCTCTGTAAAGCCTTGCTAAAAATCAGGGCATCGAGTGCCTTCATGCTTCATATGGCCACTTCCTCTTCCCATTTCTTCCTTTATTTCATAACATAGAAAACAAGGTGCCCCCATGTATCTCTCCTTAGAGGTCACCCATGAAAGAAGAAAAATTG